CGTTTTTTTAAAGAAGTTGGACTTTATAAGATAAGTATTTAGTCAATTTAATAAGTGAGAAACAACGAAATACATAAACGACTGATTTTCTGGTTAAAAAAAACTTGATGGCAGAAGCATTTGAACTACCCTAGAAACCCTCGATTATATGAAATATGAGTTACAATTTCATCGCACTCTGATAAAGAATTATCTTCCTATTTAAATCACTATTCCTACATACAAATCTCAGTTTATCAACCAAAACAATGTCAAATAGCCTAATAAATAGATAATATACCGCACAGTGATTTGTAGCTCAGGTGGACGGTTTTGGTGGAATTTCATACTCTGAGCTGAGTTACTTAATTGTGAAGTTTCCATTATTCTTCTAAACAATACGTTCAGCACAAGCCTTAGGTAAAAGTGAGCTGTCTACATTTCTCTAAAGATGACTAGTAGCTTGTTCTGTCGACCTTGATATTAGCTGGTAGTTGTTGACCTTTGTCTTGCTATTGTCCGTCAACGAAAATAAGGTCAAGAATCGGGTCAAAAGAGATATTTAAAATAAACAATTAGGTGATGACGAAACAAGGGTTAGCAACCAGTTAAGATCAACAGAACAAGCTGTTAGTCATAAGCGAAATTCGAATAGCACACTTCTATTTGAAGTTTGTGAAGAACAATGGGAACCTCACCATTAAACCACTCAGTTGAGAAAACGAAACCTACAAAATAATATACCACATGGCCTAACTTAATCTAGAAAAGACTTACTTTGGTTACTTAAACTTAGCAGTTACATCAAATCTAGCTTAGTTGTTACTATTAGACTTTTTCCTAAAAGTCCAAAAATATTTCATAAATATAAAGTGTCAACCATAGACTTAGAACATATCACTCATCGCTTAAACACATGTTAACTGGTGATCTAATTAGTTTTTGCTCAAAACTATACGCTAAAATGTTTGATGATAATGATATGATTAATAAAACTCACGAAGGAAAATGTTTATAAGAAATGTTTGTACAACCACTCTTCCTACCTACCTTGATCATCAAAATAATCGATACTGAAGTGATTTACAAACTTATTACGACCTCCTTTGTCAACGTTCTCATCATTTATATTTTTATATAGCGTTCTCTTTATTCTTGCATAGCCGATATCATTATTATTCAACTTTGTATCAAATGCATAGCAATTATTGTGTAATCTATCGATGCTGCAATACCGTATGTTCTAATTCATTTATTAATCAATGTCTTTGGGTATTAAAGTTATCCTAATCATTTACACTATTTATTTATTGCTATTTAATCAGCACTATTTTTAAACATACTTAAGAATTTGTAATATTGCTACATAATATGCTATCTTTTGATTAGTGCTGACTTCATTATCATTAATGTAGAATCTTAATGATGACAAATGGATTAAAAAAATTATCTTTTGCCGTTCTATTCACCTTTCTCTGAATAAGGATTTCTGCTTCAGTGATTTAACAACTAAGAAGCATGTTTAGTTATTATTAATGTACTTTTGAGCCACGTCAATAGATGTAGATTTCCTTGGTTGAGGTTCGTGCGATTATCATAACAAAGGGTTCGAGAACGCTGGGTGACATGGTTCATAATCCTTTGCAGTCGTGGAGGTGTATTCACTCCTAGTCTTGCTCTAGAACCTGAGTCCCGAAATCTCTCTAAAACTCTTTCATATGCAACTGCTGATATTGTTACTAATTCTGCTGCTCTAGGATTTGTCTTGAAATAATTTTATCTCGATGTGCACATGTTTTATGGCAACTTGAATCAATCGACATATGTGTCAAGTCCCAAGTTGCTTATGATGATGACTATTATCCTGATAATACTGACAATAAACGTGTGTAAACGGCGTGGACTATCAATTTCAACTGCTGTGTTGCAGATATAAGACAGGTTAGATATGCTTAAGTCTCGATAGTAAAGCATAAAATAAAAGTGTAGCTCAAGGATTAGTACATGGAGCTGTACGATCATAAAAATTAAGATTCAATATTTATGAGGTGCTTATAAAAAACTAACTGTTGTAGCTGAATGACCTTAATTATTAAGGGCTTAGATATAACAAGAGAAAAAGCAAACAATGAACTGATATACTTAGATCTTAAATATGTATGTAACACAGTATTAAAGTGTACCAGTGAATATAATTCATAGTATAATTAGATTTCAAATAGGCTATATGAAAAAATTTCCAGTAAATGAACTGTAAAATAGTAAACATCTGTTATAGTATTACGTTGCTTTAACCAAGTATAATCAGTAATAGTTTTTGCTCTCTTCATAAAAATTCTACTTTTTATTATTGTGTTAAATTCTAGAAATTACTTTTCAACGGCCAATAACTAGTTTATATATATATATATATATATATATATATATATATATATATATATATATATATATATATATATATATATATATATATGTTTAGTTAGAAAAAGATGACTTATCCTATGTAGATTGTATTGAAAACGAAAAATTACCTAACTTAGATATGTTCAATAATCTCCACAACCACATACAGACAATAATTGAGTGTTCATCAGTAACCAGTTTTGAAAGACTTCTGGAGTTCTAGACAGAAGTCGCAATCAGTATAGTTTAACTGAATCGGGTGTGAGAAAGATTCTCACCTAAAACAATGAAAGATCATCACGCAATGTCTTGGATTGATTGAAGTTACACTTGTACACCAATAGATTATGACTCAACGATCTACAGGTTAAGCGTTAGCATGTGAGACCGAAGACCCAGGGTTAGGACCCCCTATGGTGTGGCCGTAGGTGATTGAGAAGTCCCATACTAGGATGAAACGACCTTCCAGTGCTTCTAGCTTTCTGATGATTGTCTAGCTTGAATTGATTCGTGATCTTGATAATATATATAGAGGTTGAGTTATCATTCATTAGTAAGAAGAGTGAGTAGATCATGGTGATATTTATTTCACAATTACATTCAATTATTTTTTTAATGTTATACGAATGCGCGGATGATCTATTGAGAATAATGATGACATCGACCACAAGATGCGTAAACATAATTAATTTACCAACTGACAAATTCATGTACTCGGCTTTTAGTCAAGTATTAGTTGTAATGTTGCACACCAAAACAGAAATGGGTAGGGGTTTGAGTCTACAGCTTAATAGATGGAAGAATTGTGGAATGTGTTAGATAACAAAATTTTGAAATATAAGTGTGTCAGTCTTTTAAAAGAATTAACGCATTGATTAGTCTGATGTTCTATATTTACTGAAAAATTTGTCTCCTTACCAATATTCAGTAATAATCTTGCCATGTTGACTAACATATATGATTTGATAATAAACAGTGAACTATTTAGTAATAGAAGGGATGTTTAAGAAAAGTAAAGCACATATACTTTTTAGCGCGGCCATTGTAAGTGTGAATGTTGTTCACAAGGGCCACCACTTTCTTGTTGCATGCGAGAGCATCTCTCTATCATAGCTTAGCAAAACAAACCTGCACCGACTACATTAACTATTCCGTAAAATGTACTAAATTTAGCCTTTGATAGTTAAAATTGTTACAAATTTATCATAAAAAATCGCTATACTAACATTCTTACAAAAATAATTCGTTTACAGACTTAAGAGGAATATGTATGTGTACGATTATACAATTTTGAATATAGACTCATTGAAAAAAATGTATTCAAATGAAAAATATATATTTGCTGTGGAAGTGAGCAGTAACGAGAGCATAAACTTCCTGAGGATTGCAGATATACCTTATCATATTAAGTGTGAACTATATTATGAAATCTAGACTCAGACCATATAGTCAATTCCCACCACCATTAATGATGGCCATCGTAACACTGAATCAATTAACCAAGTGGTTAATATTTTAAACACAAATCGGGTAGAATTAGACCACTATATGAGACATTGCATTGATTACTACTCAGTGATAAATTAGTTAGATATATTGTGGCATAGTGTTTAAAGCAAACGACAAATCAACCAGTAGTTGGCATAATATAATCTCGTTGCACATATTTAGGTTTGAGAAGCACAGTAATATCACTAGCACCTACAAATATAATATGATTAACAGCTGAGTACATAAACCGGTACTTAGTAGGTAAACTTATATATATAAGCTGTTGTATATAAACCTAATCATAAAATTTAAACAACTCCTGACTACAGAATTGACAGAAGTCCAGGATACCCGACCAATTACAAATACAATAACACTCACACACACAAACACCAAATACAAACATACATATACGTATAACTTTTCAAAACATTATCGATAAAAGACAGAAAAAACAACAAGTATCAATTAAGTCATTTATTTATTCACAGTATAAATTGTTAAGAAAAAAATATATGAAGGCACAACACTCACACACACACAGACAAAAACACGCCTTTTTCGGACAAATATACCGACAGAAAAGTAACAAACACTGACACAAATCATAATTGCAAACACCTATAATTCTAAATGTTAATATAAGGCAGAGAATTGAACCAATAAATGGTAGAACTATTCGCTTACAAAAATATATGTTGTAAAAACCAAAATTCATTTGTATTTGTTCCACACACAAAAAAAAAGAGAATTAACTGACACAACCAAACATTGATAGCGTAATGTATATGCCTAATAAAGAATTATTATCAACTTAGGATAGACCAAAGCCATTTTTATCAAAATTTATTTAGATAAAAAGAGAGGAGGAAATATATATATATATATATATATATTGTCATGTTTTAATGAACAAAACCAAGATGAAATTAATTAATTATCCAATTGTCAATAATTAGTTAAGTGAGAGAAAATATAAATTCCAAACATTATACAACATATAACAAGGCACTTTTTTCCTCTATTTAGTAGAAATCACACTTGTTTATATTATTGAAAGAAGACAAAACAGTAAAACAGGGTATAGGCACAAATTGTTTTCATTGATATTCCATGAATAACGTATATTAATTGTTCGGTTTAAGAGAGAGTAGAATACTACGCATTCTTGACGTATCAATTGCAGTTTTTTGCTTGGACTGAAAAATGAAAAAAAAACGGGAGAGGAAAATAAATATGGAAAAAAAACCTGTAAATGTAAGAAACATTAATTGAACACATTATGGAGACAAAAAACAATATATTTAATTAACACAATTAGTCATTGAAAAGGCTTATTCAAAAAACAATGTATACCACGTTGTGTCTTTTGTTAACAATTACCGATATTACTTACTCACTTACCCCTGTTAACCCTTGTGGAGAATAGGCCACCGACCAGCAATCTCCAAACTACACTGTCCTGGGCTTCGGTTGGTGGTCGCTGTGTTGTATTTCAGGATCTTGATTTCTCCGTTGTGTATATTGAGGCGTACTGATGCAGAGGTTAAGGCTACAATGGCTGTCTTCATCTGCACTTGTTGCTGTGTATAGGATAAAAGGACTAGATCACATGCGAATTCCAAATCGTCTAGGTGCATCTAAACTGCACACTGTATTCCGTGCTTTCCCTCAGATGTGGAGGTTTTCATAGTCCAGTCAACTACCAGAAGAGAGAGAAAGCGGGAGATTAAGCAGCCTTGTCTGACACCAGTCTTCATTTGGAATACATCTGTCGAATGTCTTCTATGCACCACTTTGCAGTGTAGTCCGTCGTATGAATCCTGTTTGATGTTGACGATTTTCTCAGGTACACAATAGTGTCGAACAAGGTTCCATAAGGCCATCCTATACACACTGTCATATGCTTTCCCATAGTTCAGGAAGTTGATGTAAAGTGACGAGTTCCATTTAATTGATTGCTCAACAATGATCCGCAGTGTTGCGAATCGGTCTGTGCACGACCGATCCTTACAGAATCCAACCTGTTGATCTCGAAGTTGGGCGTCTACTGAGTCATTCATCCGGTTCAGCAACATTCTGTTGAAAACCTTTCCTGGTACTGATAGTAGTGTGATGCCTCTGTAGTTCTCACATTTGTTCAGATCTCCTTTCTTTGATATTTTGATGAGGTATCCTTCTTTTCAGTCTGTCGGCAATTGTTCTTCCTCTCAAATCTTCCTGAATAGAATGCTGCGAATCCTTGTCTGACTTCAGTGATTCAGTTGGCATTTTGCCTGGTCCTGGTGGCCATGATGATTTCTTCGATTGTTGGTGGGGTGACATCTACGAAAAGGTCTGTAAGCGCTGCTTTGAATACTAACAGTAAGTAAATTGGATTTAACAAAGTACAATTCTTAAGGGAACTTAGAAGATTGCTGGAAGTAAATCTCTATACATAACACACTTTCACATCTTAACATTACAAGGATTTCAGTTGTTAGCTAGACATATCTCTAAAGTACTCTGAGACCAAATACGCAGAATACCTAAACCTTATGGGAAGAGGAAAATGAAAATTTAGATATTTATAACTGTACATATGTTGTTTGTTTGAAGTTGACGAAATAGATTTCACTTGTCAACAGATCATTAATAGAACAAGCTCAATAACAATTTTCCTGAGGTGTTGTGTCATTAAAATAGCAACTGTCTACTAATCAGTCGTAAACGATACTTAAGAGACAACTGTTCTAACTCACTAGAATTAAAGTACATAGTACCATATCGTTATAATAGTTAAAGATAGCAAAGGATAATGAATACAAATTAGAGAATTTATGGAATGGCCTCATATCTTCGTCTTTCAGACATTGGTCTTCCATTGAACAATTCGAATGCCAACTAGAATTGTATGTCGCTAATTAGGCGGTTGTAATGTTTCATAGTTTCAACAATTAAATAAGTGAACAAATAAACAAAACTCCAAGACCATAGAAAATTACTTAAGGTTAATTCGTGTACCTCCGGTTTTCCATCATGTACAGCCTTATACATAAAACTCTGTAGATTGTATAATTTATAATAAAATGATTTATTGGGTCGACGTTCCACTTACGCGTACAAACAAGACCATGAATATTTCCGCATCTGACAGTAATATATTATAAGTACATATTTAAATAAATGAATGAAAATAGAATCCAGTTAAGAAATTTAAACTGTGTTCAATTTAGTTAACGAGGACTTAAGATGAAATTAAATAAGAGAACAACTTAATGCCAAGTTACTTAATATATCTAAAACACGGAAACACCTAAGTACTAATTACTTTCTTGCCTTGAGATTTACGTATTTCATAATTAAAAAACAAACAAACTCATACTGCTATTTGACGGGTATTTTTTAATCGTTTTTTTTACTGATCATTTTGACCAGATGCTGAATTAAGTAAAATTACGGATATAATCCGAGACTAAGTACCAAGGGCTTTAAGCTATAACACAACTGAGGTTGCTCTGACTAAAATAAATAGAGCAGGATTCAAACAATTAAAATCCAGTGATTACACGTCGAGTCTTATGTAACCAACGCTTTTAATTAATGTGTATTTTTTCTAACCATGAAGGTTCTAATTTATCTTCAATGAAAAGAAATTAACAATTTTTTTAACAGGTTAGGTAATCAAATAAAATGATATCTTAAATGCATACTTGAAAATCACATAAATTGCAAATACTCTCCCAAACGGCTGTATCTTTCACAGATGGTTTGCTACCATCACCATTCATGAAATGACCATTTGAATCATGTTTTTTCTCACGCAATTCACGGGATTTTGTTTCTAATCTTTGGTGATATTCTTTGTACCAATGATTTAACTCCTATGAATATATTTTAAATGAAATATTGAAAAAGCAATAAACGATAAGTGAGATGGATTCTCTTAAAAATCAGATTAAAATTTAGCAATAGACTGGTGAATTATTGAACAATAGCAGTATATATATATACTGAAATCAAAACAGAAGTAACAAAACATTTGAAAGCTTTGATTACACGATAATTAACTTATGAAAACCTATTTTCGTAACCGAATATGAATTAACGATTCCACTAGACTAGTGCTTTAGTTCTTGCAAACTGACCACGATACGAAAATGCACTAACAATTATGCAAACATTTGAGCACTAAGCACACAATTGTAATAATTTAAAAAATATACCAATAACTACCCAGATGAAAAAAAAACATGAATATTCATTATGAACCAGTGCAAAAACATTTGACTACCTGTTTTGATGGTGTTTTAGAATATGATTTAAATCAAATGTCTTCAGCTTTGCTTTTTATTTCGTCAAGTGAAAACAAGGAAATGATTAAGCCTATGTGTAGTACGAGTCCAAAACGTGCGAAAACGTGATAACCCAATGCAAATTTATAGAATCAACTGTCAACTGCCTTTTATGTACGAAGGATAATGAAAGGACAAAGTAGCGTGAACTATTAGAACAGCGGTTCGACTACACAAATCTTAGAACGATCTTCGCATTTAATGATAATCCTTAACTGATCATATTCAGAAGTGCCCAACGTAGGCCATTCATGACCACTAGTGGTTGGTACTGGTTTGATATACTACAGTTTTAATCATTAGGATGCATCTGAGACTTATTTATTTAAACGCATAAACGTTGGTACAAGAAAGCACCAAACAGATATGCGCCACATAAATCATTCGATTTATATGAGGGCTGGGGTACTAACCGGGTGCCCAAACTGAAGCAGGTGCTTTTCTTAGGGAGCCACACACAGAGCCTTTGACCTAAAGGTCTGATCCACAAGGCAGTGGAGCAACGTTAGGAGATGCAGTCCAACGGTAGCCGGTGATCAACGATTGGTTCATACGCGATTAGTTTCTTTAGGATCCTGGAGCCCATGTGCACCATTGGTTTGGAATCAGGGTTTTTCAACTTCCCTAGGTGGATCCTACATATCCACCAACCCGGTTAAGGCTCCGGACATTCGACTTTCGTCTACTCAATTTCGTAAACAACACCCCCGCCACGAGAAGGCAGTGAGTAAGACTTCCCTGGCAGTGGTGGTATGCACGTGGCCACTTGAGAGCTTTTCGAGAGGGAGAGCTGACTCTCCCTACCCTCGGTCGTACCAGGGCATTTGGGGTATGTTTCATTGCAACAGGCAGATCTAATCCACAAAGCTGGTAGTCATCTCAGCCAAATTTATCAAGTTGAACAGTAATCGGTATTCGTGTAGAAACTACAATGAAAAAGGCCCACTTTTCTGCCGTTGATGTATACAAGCCACTCAATAATGTCAAAAGAAAATCAGATATCATTAAGACCCAAAGAAAATGGACAGAACACAATGTAACAGATTATCAAAAAAAAAGCCGATTATCTGAAAAATTACCTTTTTTCCTGTTTCCATCAACTCAGCACATTTTTTTTCTTCTTCAGCATCTTTAGCCTTAATTCTTTTCTCGAATTCCTCCCGCCAAGACTCAGTTCCACTAACATTACTGTCGGATGATACAATTGTGTTGAAATCATGAACAGAATTGTTAGCTCTACAATCAGGTTCAGCCAAATTGTGTCCAAAATTAGAGCCATTCATTGTAGATTGTCCATTAAGAAACACATAACTGGGATCAGAGACCTCGGTATCTAAATTATTCAGTGAGAAAGCTCTCAAATTAAGATATGATGAGAGAACCGACTAATTAGTTTATAAAACATCGAAAGTGTGGGCAAACTATACACTCTGCTCAAATGTAGCAGACATGTTAAAATGTCATGATAAAAATTTGAAATACTAATATGATGGGAAAAATAAATCCAGAGCAGTTAGGTTTTAAGCCATTGAAGCGTAGTCAGTCAGTTAGTCATACGGAACGTAGGATATAAACATGTTTATATCTGTTCGAGTTTCCATACCTCATTAGCCCACCAAGATGAAATTATCAGGGCTGATCCCCAAGTAGTACACGAAGTAACAGTTTCGATGGTAATTTAAAAGACTAGACATTTAAGATACAACCTGAGAATATATAAACTAGAGAAATAACGAAAAAATTTGATGAGGAATTTAAAAACTTAAAATCTGAGTGGCGACAAAGGGTGAATGCACCTAAGCAATTACAAATGATTATAAACCAGGTTACTGAAGTCCCTAATCGTTAGTTAACATTATCACACGGACACCAACCACGTAGTCTGAACCTACTTACGTGGTTCATTCCATTAGTTAGTGTCTTCCAAATGATGCCATTTCTTGGTTTGGACGCCATTGAATTTTCACGACCTACTTTACATAAGCCACCATAACGCATAGAGGTAGTTGACGGATGGGTTTACGTAATACATGTCCTAACCACATCAGTCGATAAAAATTCACTGATTCGCCATACTAGTACTCTGTATCTAAACAACAAACCGATTTCCTTGTTTTTTATGACATTTAATTATATCAGAAGGGTTATGCGGATATTATAGTAATTTCAATAGTTGAGATCATGAGTTAATTTAAGCTAGACCACCATGGAAAACACGGAAGCACTGGACGGCCGTTTCGTCCTATTGTGGGACTCCTCAGAAGTGCGTATCCACGATCCCACCTCGAGAGGTTCGAACACAGGACCTATCAGTCTCGCGCGCGAGCGCTTAACCACTAGTCCACTGAGCAAGCATCCAACGTTGTTAATGTCTAACTTCAACTAATCCAAGGAACTGAGCGACACATTTAATTATGTTTATTTTGTATTAATAATTTATGCACGAGTATCATATTACTATGTACAATAAAAAACCAATTATTTTGACTAGCTGTCTTGTTGAATATTATTTTATAACGAGTTTTGAGACAACAATTTGATCTCGTGAACAATTATCACTCAACCAAACTTCGTACCGTTGTATTTCATCTATTGATAAGCATTTTATTTAATTTTTACTGTCTAAAATCTGCTCATCAATTGATATTATCCGTGGCAACAAAATGGCCTTTTTAAAGGTGACATAAAGTACTCCAACTACAAAATTTACCATAATATGCTATTAATATTGTAGATCATAACCGGACTACCTACAGAAAATAGCTATCAACGTTGTGTTATTTATTTTTCGCCTCATATGAAATTTAAAGGTGGTTACTCAGGATTATTCATCAAAACGAATCAAGTGTGAAGTAAATTTTGGGAAGTTTAATTTGTATTAAAAAGTGACAGAGCTCATAGTATAAAAATCACTAAGAATTCATTTTAGATAACGGAATTTTTAAAATATTAAGCCGTATACTTATAACGACCGATACCTACGAAAGTATCTACAGTGCATAGTGACATAAAAGTTAACTGAAACTAGCAATAAGTATCGATAGTTAAAACTTTAAATTCCTGTGCTTCTAGTACACAGGCATTTAGTTTTTCAGGCACATGATGCGATAGGGATGTGAACTAAACAGCTAACTTATACTCTCGTCATATCATACCAGTACGAACGTCGAGACAGTTCTCGTGTACGGAACTGTAACTTGGAGAATTACCACAGCCATCATCAAAAACGGACAAATAAACAATTGCCTAATATACTGAATGTCCGTTGGCCTGATGCCATCAGAAACAGCCTAATGTGGGAGGGAACAAACCAACTGCCAGCTGAGGAAATTAAGAAAAGATATTGGAAATGGATAGGACACTGTGTAAATTATTAAACTGCACCACGAGAAAATCCTGAAAATAAACGGGAGAGAGGAAGGTCAAAGAATACACCGCGCCGAGAATTGGGAGCACATATCAAAAGGATGAATAGCAACTGGAAAGAATTGCCCAGGACATAGCCGGTTAGAGAATCATGGTCGGCGACGTATGCTTCATGAAGGGTAACAAGCGTAAGTCATGTTCCTACCCACTTACATCTATAAAACAAAAACAGACCTATATTTCTTAGCATGTCTTAGGTCACGTAAGTGACTTCGTGCAGTCCAATACACTTAGCTCTCTTTATCTGTTGCTACAATAGCTTGTACAGACATTTTAACTTCGATCCACACTTTGTATAGGCCAATGAAACTACCAAAACACTAAAAGTGAAATAGGTAGATCGAGGATTAAACCTGTAGCTTACTGGTCAAGAGCCGAAAAATTAAGCTGCACAACTTAATTTCGCATAAAAATAATGAGAGAACATTGGTATGGCACAGAGATGAAACTGAGAAAGAAACATAAAATTGTCGACAATAAATTTGATGTAGCACATTTATACAATTGGATCAAAGTAGCAACAATAATAGAAAGAAACAATTATTCTTGAAAATACGGTTTGAAAAGAAGAGTGGGATGGTATGCGTGGGAGGATATTGGAATTTAAGATAAAGAGTGGATGCATCTTCCAAGATATTAGTAAAATCATCAAATGCACATATTTTCGACAGATTATTTAAGAGCATAAGTTTATCTAACAAGTAGATGTCGAAGAACAAAACGACTGATTATTTGGTAGATGACGAAAGTGTGACCACGACATGCCCGGTCTTACAAATTCTTACGGTTTAAGTTTGATTAAAAGAAGACATACCTCGATAATTATGGCATTCTTTAAGTAGGAGCTTGTTAGAGAGGAGAAAATTTGTTTAATAATAGAAGGATAAAGTACGATGAAAGAGAAGCTAAGGGATATCTTTTTGATGAATAATATGAAAAGACCAAACATAATGTCGATCCACGCACAGCAAATGAAAGGGTAATGCAATAAAAATATTACCTTACCTTAAACAGCTCGAGTGCTTGTGGGTTAGACTTTGAAGCGGTGGTCTTGTGTTTCAAGCGTTCGAATTCCAGTCCCACGTTTGAATACCAATCTACCTACTTTAGTTTATGTAAATGAATGGTATCATAAGCTCTCAAACTTAAAGTAGTTCGCAGCCAAGTACCTAGCACATGCATTAATTTAACTTAATTCTTGAAGATTCTATGGACTACCGAAAACGCACTAGCCGTTAGCAGAACAAACACCAACGTATTATCTAGCGAAACATTAAGCTGGGATTCTTAAACCCTACAATTTGAAACTTGGAATCAAAATTAATTCAAAACATCAATCCAATTCACATGGATTTAAGAACACGTTTTAATTTTTGTTCCTTGCTTGCTGTTACATCTATCAAGACTGTTACATGTAAGGCATTTAGAATTTGACACCTTATGATTACTAAAACGTAATATATTTACACCTCACTATTTATTTATTTACTTATTTTAACACATAAATATTGGTACAAGGAGGCACCAAATACATATGCGCCACACAAATCTCATTCGATAGTGTGAAGACTGTGATACTGCCCGGGTGCCCAAACCGAAGCAGGTGGTTTGCTTAGGGGGCCACTCCCCGAGCCTTCGACCTGAAGGTCTGACCCACAAGGCAGTGGAGCATCATTAAGGAGATGCAGTCCCATGGAAGCCGGTGACCAACAATTGGTTCATACGCCATTTGTTCCCGCAGGATATTGGAGCCCATGTGCACCATTGGTTTGGAATCCGGTTAAAGCGCCGGACATTCGCTTTTCGTCCTCTCATTTTTGTAAACAACACCCCCGCCACGAGAAGGCAGTGAGTGGGACTTCCCTGGCAGAGGCTATATACGCGTGGCCATGTGAGAGCATTTCGAGAGGGAGAGCGGACTCTCCCCACTCTCGGCCGTACCAGGGCATTTGGGGGCACCTCACTACTTAAATTATGAAGTTTATACAAGTAAACAAATGCAGCTGAGATTTTCAGCTTCCCCAACTGTTTTGAATAATACTTAAGTACACACGGAAAATAAACATAATCCTAAAATGTGATCTCCTGACTTAAACCTAGTTATGGTATGCGGATCACACCTTTATCATAACGAAAGATGCATTAGACCAATCTTTTGAACGTAATAACAGTATATCAGACAGCACCAAGTCTCCTAAAAGGATTGAATTTGCTTAACGTAAACATTCCTCGACTGTTTATTCGAAAGAGACCAGTGTAATTGTTAGAAAATTAAGAAATTCAGGAAGCCAGAAAATTTTGCGAAATAACCGAAATATCGGTCAACATATCCTTATTAATAAAAAAGATCACTGAGCAAGTAGTGGACAGATTCCATTATTTTTCTAAGCAAACGACAGACAAGGACATTGTTGTGAATGTAATTGTATCTACACAGAGAATGAATGATTACTCTCGAATTTAAAAGAATCAATATTGGAGTAAGGTAAAAGTCCTAACGAAAAAACGGATTATTAAGTAGTTATCTCACACCCGACGGTATCGCAAGCATGTGAGTTATCATCAAGATCACTTAAAAAAACTGTTGCTTTTTCAACAAAATTAATATTTTCGAAATGACTAATTAGGTTTTAGTGTGAAATTCATCCATCCACATAGCTAGAAACAAGTATTGCATGTCAATTTTTATGCGTGTGATAAAAAATATCCGTAAACTCATGAACGAGAGTTTATTATTTATGTTAAACTATTTATCGATCATAATCTTATCACCTTACATAAAAAATCGTCTCGTAACCAAACACCGTTATCGCGCATTTCAAAGAGTAGTTCAGAATCTTCCAAATGCTTTGCTTTCATTGTCCTTTTCCATGCAATATTTCAGACTTAAGGAGTGAAAAACTTAGGATGTGGAGTGGATCTCCTTCCAATTTCGCTGCTTTAGAATCGATGTTTATTCGAATCCCAAACAAAAGAAATAAAGGCGATAATTTCGAGGACAAATCGGAATGAGCAAAGGCAGAGCGCGCGAGAAACCCCTGCGTCATACCCTGCCAAAAGAAAACAGTAGAAAGTTGTGTCTTAACCTCTCCCTATGGATCAATGTCTCGAAATTTACACCAGGGTTTACTTTCCATCGAAAATTATTTTCTGGTCAAACGTTTTAATACGTATGAGGCTCTAAAGTAGTAACGGACAGACTTGAGAGACACATATGTGGATAGGCACATATAATGGTTGAGAGATGAAACAGCGTTATGAACAAAGCTAGCAGTTCAAGCTGTCTGAATATAGATGACGGAGCAAAATGGAACAAAATTGTGGACAACTAACTTGAAATATCTTCGTTAAGCTTTAAATCATCACCTAAATCCCCAAGAGCCTCCTGTTCACGAGCAAGAAAGTCAGAAACTGGGTCAAAATCAGACATTTGAAATATAAGTAACGTGAGCAGTAGAAAACGTTCAAATAGCCGGCAAATTTAGTGTGCCAATAAATGCCCTGAAAACATATAAAGTATATATCTCTTTTCTTCTATCACCATTGCAAAATAAGCCGTTTTTCTCACGTTTCGTGACCTAATGTGGTGGGAAAAATGTCAGGGATGTGCGTAAATAATGAATACAACTAATTAAAAAATCTGAAAGATACAGGCGAAAAGGTTTAAAAAACGTAACTTTTCGCTCAGTGTGAATTCATCACATAAGGAAACCAAAGTCACTTTCCGCAATTCGCAAGACATTTGGGTTACTGTCCAAAGTTTTATACAAAAGACCGAAGATTGGAAAAAATTTTGTAGTAATTTAAAGAAACAGAATCAGAGTGCGGGTAGTTATTGCAGTAATAAAAGCTCCGTAGACGCAGTTCCTGGACAGTAAAGCACTTGATTCTGGACGCTTTACGTTTGTAGGAACCGTAAGAATACAGAAGCGTAAAGGAGAACAAGTTGCTCTATTCATTAGAAATGCCATTACATTTATCGTCATTGATAACGTATCCCACAAAAGCGGAACGTCAGAATTGATTGGTCGCCGCTTGAAATACGCAAAAAGAGCTGTTGATTTGTTTGGTCTACCGCAGTTTAAACTGCGAGGTGAATCGAGTCTCGCTAGATGGTCTCGACACCTGGTCATCAAGTAGTCGAGGTTTACTCTTAGGAGATCTAAATGCACCTACGCTAGGCTGGAAAAATCAGAGGACTCAATTTTTTGAAAATTCTGTCGAACAGTAACTTGTTGATTTGGTTATCGAATGTACCCTAGTGCAACATGTGAGAGTGGTAACTAGGTGCCACCCGGACTCCGAATCATCCTTTATTATACGCCACCTCTAGGCAAAAGTGACCATACAGTTCTAGTCTTTGATTTCCATATAGTTGTCGGCAATGAGAATGTGTCAGCCCAAGCAAGACCAAACGTCTAGAAAGCAAACATGCAAGATATTACACATTCAGCTTCCTTAGTAGATTGGTCAATAGAACCAGAGTCCATCGTTGAGACGGCTACACCAAGGGGTCCGACAAACTCCCCACCGTGATTCAGTAAAGAGGTTAGCACCCTTCTCCGTAAGAGGCGAAAAATGTGGGAGAGAATTAGGTTACTGGGTACTGACGAGACGAAATCTTAGTATCGGGAAGCTTCAAACTACCGCACACTGCTGTGGGATAGCCGACAGAGGTTTTAGAACCCTATAGTCAATATGTAAGGCCTTTAGCCATGTCGATGCCAAAACACTTTTGATTTCGTATACAGTACTCGTTCGTCCTAAACTCGAGTATTGCATACAAGTGGCTAGCTCCTGCCAAAATGAGGCAGTGAGTTGTCGGAAAGGGTTCGGAGAACCGCAACTAAGCTAATTCTCGGGATAGTAAAGCTCCTGTATGATGCCCGACTGGCCAAACTGAACCTATTTCCATTGTCATATAAAAGAACGAGAGGTGACTCGACCACAGATTTTAGATTACTTAGTGGTAAATTTGCACCTGATATGCCCTCACTCTTCTTGTCTTTCGGAACAGAAAACTTACGAGGACACTCTAAAGCGTTCACAATCCCAGAACAGATTACTTGTCAGCTGACTATCGACTTGTCCATCGAATCATCAACGGATGGTATGCATTAAATCAACACGTGATTGAAGCTCGATCTGTCTACGCTTTCAAAAGGATATTGAATCAACTGAGCGATCACCACTGCCAGGACGAAGACAGGCCACCTAGTTTACTGTCCCTCCCAAGCTGAGACTGATTCAGAGATTTTCAAACTGCAGTAGAGTGTATCTGGAGCGTATCTTATAGCTAAATATTACGAACATTTTTAAAGCGAGTTGAAATGTGAAAGGTTTGTAGCAACAAGTAACCCATAATTTTTTATGTGCTTTAATTTTAATTCAACACGCTCCGGGTTTGAGTATTCACACTATTCTTTTTTTAGTTTTCTAAAGAAATACTCTATATAGACAGTCGGATACCTAGATAGGTACTCCAGATTGTGAATTTAAAGGTATAGAGGAATAAGATTTTGAAGACAATAATTTCTTCGGTAAAGTGTGTGCAGTTTTTGTTTAAATATATACATATATATCATGCAAAAAGAAAGTGAACATTATTTGGCACGTTAATGAATTCTATAGAAGCTCTATAGAGTTTTAATGAAGATTTCACAGTCAATAATATTTATGAAGGCCATTCTATACATAATCATTGTCATGAAATTATCTTTATGTGGTGTTTGTGTGAACTAATGTTTCATTTTTACTAGATGCCTGCTTGACTTCATATTCCAAGTACAATACGTTCGTTTCTAGTCACCTAGTTCTTATTGGTCTAAATTTCGCCATTGCTGTTATTTCTAGTTTGTACAACAATTCAAATACTCCAAATCATCACGCTTTCCAAACTAACCATCTGCAACAACATTCCTCAGTGATGACGGAAATAAAAAATAACTGTGCAATGCACCAGTTAAAAAGTCATCATAGTAGGTTGCTTTATTCAATATCTTGCTCAAAAGGGAAAATCACGAATATAGGTGATCTATATGAATGACTGTGGTCTAATTGTGAAGTCGCCTAGGTAACATCAGAACCATATCTCTCGGTCGATACTGAATATGGATTACATTTTTTACTGTACCTAGACATTGTGGCTTTTTAATGACCATAAAAAATAAACTTGAATTCATTTCGAATGAATGTTTTACTAAAAACTGGATGGACGAACAGTGTGCGAAGACCTCCTCATGAACCTAACTATGAAATGAAATTAAGAAATTCTTGTCAGTCACATTTTATTATGACGATGTTTGCTAGAATATTTGGAGAGTGGTGATGTGTGATCTAACATAGATGTGTTTAAGTCTGATTCACTATTTGTCTGGGCTTCTTGACATTCACTGAACTAACAAAATGTTAAAGTAAATTAACAAGCGATGTGTGTTCACAAACGATAAATGCTAAAAATACAAAATAAATAAGAATTTAATTGTTTGTACAGTATTGTGAAATGCAATGAAGAATTTCAAAATATAAGAATTCTTGGTTTACTCATCATCGTATGTCTTCTTGTGCGCATACTTATATTCACCAGCACTATTCAAACTTGAAAACTTTGAACATTTTTATTTTCAGCTCATGAATAGTAATCACAGTGCAATACAGCCTTAATGTTTTAATATTTCAGTGTCATAGAAACAAGGTCGCCCAGTCATTCATATCACATATCGTGTTTCGTTGGAAAGTGACTCTTTTCAATTTCTGAAAGAATTATTTTTTGTCTGTTTTACAACACAAACTTTCACATAATTCTATGAGAAGGTACATGGTATGTTACCTCGATGTTACCATATCCCAATCTCTCGAATCTGAGGAAGCCATAATTGAAAATTTTGTGGAAACGGTATTGAAACCACGAAATTTCCTCAGAATCTTAGTGCACTTTCTTGTAGTCGTTCCGCATTCATTTATAACACAATCTGAAAATTTTTGGGTAATTTTATGAAATCTCGGGAGTTTCACTAAAGTTTGGTGGCTTCCACGAAATTGTGAGATTAGAAAAACCACATAATTTATCAAAATTTGGGCAGACTACGCGTTTTTTTCCTTAGAGTTTGGGTTCCTCCCAATATTTTCTTTGAACTTTGGTGAATGACCTTATATTTTACCTATTTTTCCTCAGAATCTTCCCAAGCTGCCAACTTTGAAGATAATTTGGTCCATTATGGGGAAGCCGCTATAGTAAATTTAAGGGAAATGAAACGCAATCCTCAAAATGTCCCCGAATTTTGGGGAAGGCTATTTCACCTCGATGGTTTCCCCAAAATTTCCCCAAAGTTGGCAGCTTGGGTTATTACACTTTTGAAAAATTCTTCTATATTTATTTATAAAACCGCAGACCTTTGCGCGATTTCGGTTAAGTAATTCAAAACGTCTCACTTTACCGCAATACATCTTCACATTTTCGAAAGATATCACGGAAAAGCCTGGCGATAATAACTACCAAAACGTTTATACTCAGGTATTCAATTTTGTACTGTCAATTACGCAAAGTAAATACAGTGCCAAAGAATCTTAACAGCAATCGACATATCGTTGTAGTTGAATACGACTTACGAATATTTCTTAATTTCATTTCATAGTTAGGTTCATGAGGAGGTCTTCGCACACTGTTCGTCCATCCAGTTTTTAGTAAAACATTCATTCGAAATGAATTCAAGTTTATTTTTTATGGTCATTAAAAAGCCACAATGTCTAGGTACAGTAAAAAATGTAATCCATATTCAGTATCGACCGAGAGATATGGTTCTGATGTTACCTAGGCGACTTCACAATTAGACCACAGTCATTCATATAGATCACCTATATTCGTGATTTTCCCTTTTGAGCAAGATATTGAATAAAGCAACCTACTATGATGACTTTTTAACTGGTGCATTGCACAGTTATTTTTTATTTCCGTCATCACTGAGGAATGTTGTTGCAGATGGTTAGTTTGGAAAGCGTGATGATTTGGAGTATTTGAATTGTTGTACAAACTAGAAATAACAGCAATGGCGAAATTTAGACCAATAAGAACTAGGTGACTAGAAACGAACGTATTGTACTTGGAATATGAAGTCAAGCAGGCATCTAGTAAAAATGAAACATTAGTTCACACAAACACCACATAAAGATAATTTCATGACAATGATTATGTATAGAATGGCCTTCATAAATATTATTGACTGTGAAATCTTCATTAAAACTCTATAGAGCTTCTATAGAATTCATTAACGTGCCAAATAATGTTCACTTTCTTTTTGCATGATATATATGTATATATTTAAACAAAAACTGCACACACTTTACCGAAGAAATTATTGTCTTCAAAATCTTATTCCTCTATACCTTTAAATTCACAATCTGGAGTACCTATCTAGGTATCCGACTGTCTATATAGAGTATTTCTTTAGAAAACTAAAAAAAGAATAGTGTGAATACTCAAACCCGGAGCGTGTTGAATTAAAATTAAAGCACATAAAAAATTATGGGTTACTTGTTGCTACAAACCTTTCACATTTCAACTCGCTTTAAAAATGTTCGTAATATTTAGCTATAAGATACGCTCCAGATACACTCTACTGCAGTTTGAAAATCTCTGAATCAGTCTCAGCTTGGGAGGGACAGTAAACTAGGTGGCCTGTCTTCGTCCTGGCAGTGGTGATCGCTCAGTTGATTCAATATCCTTTTGAAAGCGTAGACAGATCGAGCTTCAATCACGTGTTGATTTAATGCATACCATCCGTTGATGATTCGATGGACAAGTCGATAGTCAGCTGACAAGTAATCTGTTCTGGGATTGTGAACGCTTTAGAGTGTCCTCGTAAGTTTTCTGTTCCGAAAGACAAGAAGAGTGAGGGCATATCAGGTGCAAATTTACCACTAAGTAATCTAAAATCTGTGGTCGAGTCACCTCTCGTTCTTTTATATGACAATGGAAATAGGTTCAGTTTGGCCAGTCGGGCATCATACAGGAGCTTTACTATCCCGAGAATTAGCTTAGTTGCGGTTCTCCGAACCCTTTCCGACAACTCACTGCCTCATTTTGGCAGGAGCTAGCCACTTGTATGCAATACTCGAGTTTAGGACGAACGAGTACTGTATACGAAATCAAAAGTGTTTTGGCATCGACATGGCTAAAGGCCTTACATATTGACTATAGGGTTCTAAAACCTCTGTCGGCTATCCCACAGCAGTGTGCGGTAGTTTGAAGCTTCCCGATACTAAGATTTCGTCTCGTCAGTACCCAGTAACCTAATTCTCTCCCACATTTTTCGCCTCTTACGGAGAAGGGTGCTAACCTCTTTACTGAATCACGGTGGGGAGTTTGTCGGACCCCTTGGTGTAGCCGTCTCAACGATGGACTCTGGTTCTATTGACCAATCTACTAAGGAAGCTGAATGTGTAATATCTTGCATGTTTGCTTTCTAGACGTTTGGTCTTGCTTGGGCTGACACATTCTCATTGCCGACAACTATATGGAAATCAAAGACTAGAACTGTATGGTCACTTTTGCCTAGAGGTGGCGTATAATAAAGGATGATTCGGAGTCCGGGTGGCACCTAGTTACCACTCTCACATGTTGCACTAGGGTACATTCGATAACCACATCAACAAGTTACTGTTCGACAGAATTTTCAAAAAATTGAGTCCTCTGATTTTTCCAGCCTAGCGTAGGTGCATTTAGATCTCCTAAGAGTAAACCTCGACTACTTGATGACCAGGTGTCGAGACCATCTAGCGAGACTCGATTCACCTCGCAGTTTAAACTGCGGTAGACCAAACAAATCAACAGCTCTTTTTGCGTATTTCAAGCGGCGACCAATCAATTCTGACGTTCCGCTTTTGTGGGATACGTTATCAATGACGATAAATGTAATGGCATTTCTAATGAATAGAGCAACTTGTTCTCCTTTACGCTTCTGTATTCTTACGGTTCCTACAAACGTGAAGCGTCCAGAATCAAGTGCTTTACTGTCCAGGAACTGCGTCAACCGAGTTTCTGTAACTGCGTTTACGACCAGGTTTTTAGAATCTTTTTACATTTTATTTCACGTACATACTTTGTTGATTGATGAGAAGAGTTCCTTCAAGATTACATTATTCCTCATGCTTATGAGTATTCGTTTATGTACAGGCTCTTATCGATCGAATTTCTTTGTTTTACGTAGAACATGTAAGCCTTAAATACACATGTACTTTATTTAGCTGATAAAAGTGTGGTGTGAGCTAAGTATCCAGGCTGATTTTATTAGTAATTAGTAGAAACTCAAAGTGAAATATTTGTCGGCAGAAGATTGACAGAAACAATATATGAAGGAAAACAGAAAGTGATCGGTATAACAACAGAACTTAAAGAACTATTTATTATGTAGTGAACAACTCAAGGAAAATGTGCAAATGATGTGTTTAAATTATGATTTAACATATTTCAGTTACTTGGTTTGCCGCAAATGAATTTTCGCTCACTGCTTCTGAAGAGAGATCACAATTTATTTTAAGAATTGACATATGATTGTTTCCTTAGTATTGCTCCTTTACACTTTCAAGGCAAGCAGTTAAGCAATTAAATTGTACAGAATTTGATTATTATTTATGACAGTTTACTCAGTCGACATAAATGCATTTTAGTTGATTCTTGTGATTTTTCTCATCTTCGTTAGTCATGTTTGACAATACTGCTGGTTTTATAAAATATTTTTTAGAATGTTAAGTTCACGCTGGGTATTAAAAAGAGAGTTCATTACACTTAGTATCATATTTTCATCTTTGTTTGAAATAGGCGATTTGTGTAGGAACTGTAACAGCATTTAAGGATTGCACCGAAAGTGATAAGTAGAAGACAATTCCTGAGTTTTTTTGCAGCGCTTTCATAAAAATATTTCAAAAAATTAATTAATCAAAATAATCAGTTTAAATAGTTAGCCATTTCAGTCATTACTTACTTAAATTTTCGAAATTAGTTTCCATGCTTTTCTCTTTATGTTATTTTTCAGTTGTTCCTCTGATCTCTGTTGGATATTTCTTCCTGAAACTATTTGAAATATACACATTGACAATATCTTGCAATTATGATTGGGGAAGTTAGTACAAACAAATTTCTATCAGTTTTCTACAGCATTGGGAGTAAACCACTAGAGATGTGGGATAAACATGTAGCTTGTCCGTTTCGTAATATAACGGACTTATCTTGAACTCAGGTTTGTAATGGTCGAGTTTATCGAATGACTGATGAAGAAATTCAATCATATGTGTTGGAAATTCTGGGTCAAAATATAAGGTTAGACATTTTAACAGTCACCTAATTTGTTTCTTTAGTACAACATATATTACTTGCCCTAATGCTAAAAAGAAAAGCCTTGCAGTTAAAATGCCAATTTTAGTAATTGTTTTAAAGAATCTGAATAAATATTTCAGTTTCGAAGTTCAAGTAATCATTTTACATGACTACAGCTAATGTTTAGATTCTTGATGATCAAAACTTGAAGCGAAGATTTCATGCAAGTACTTGTCAAACGACAACAGTCGTTAAACCATTTGCTTGTATGATGCCAATGAAACTTGATGAAGGTTGGAATCAAGTACAATTTGACTTAGCCGATTTTACTCGAAGAGCCTATGGAACAACTTACATAGAAACAGTGAAATTAAGTGTAAGTTAGCCATGTACATAACTTTCATGTTAATACTTATTGATTTTAATATTTTATTAATATGCTATTAACTGTAATACTTTAGTGCACATAAACATTGAACTCCTTTGTTCAAAAGATACTGCTATCTAGGAAAGTGTGTAAATCAATAAACTTAACTATTTTCTTAACTTTAGGAAGTTGGGATAATTCAGTGATGTCCAACCTAATCGAGACTTTCTCATTTTTCTTAATCAACCATGTGGTACTGTAGTAAACAGAAACAAAAATCACAGAATCTCCTAGTAAAATCTACGATCCATACAGTAAATAATCCATTTACAAAATGTTCATGAATTGTCTCAGACTTTGTTTTTTTCTTCGTTTCCATACCAACCACTTTCTGTCCTCCTTCTCTTCTCATTGATTTTCTCAACCTTCTGCCTCTAGGTATCCCACTTTCGACTGGTGATACTACTTATATCAGTCAACTTCAGTAGCAGACATCCATAGTACAATTATTTCTGTAATTAAATGTGACAAAATTTACGCTCAGTTTAACTTTTTCATTTTACTGTGAATCACATACTGACTATAAACCATGTTAGTTTGAAAATTAATTTTTTAAAAGTAAAGCCATTCGTTTGGTCATCGAGAAAGTATTGAAAATTTTATGAGTTTGAGAATAGTTTTGCAGGACACATTGGTAAACATTGGACAAAAAGTTTGATCAGTAGCATCTGAAATAAATTTAATTCAAAAAGTAAATAGTTATTTTGTTTATTTGAACTGTAAATTTATGTCTTGAGGTAGATTTCTACCTTTGACTTACCAGGCTAAGCTTAGCGTTTTAGGTTAAAATGATAAATCAACTGATGAGACTATACATTTTCAACGAGTTGGATGGATTCAGAGCAGGACCCCCGCTTCAGACAATAAATTTTTCGACCGTTAAATTGGTTCTTATTACGAGTAGTAACTTCTTCAATCGTATTCCATGAAATTGTCACAGTCCACGACTGGTCATTGATATTAGTATTTCGATCTACATTTTTTTCTTAGTTTACTCATTTTCTATCTCTATCTCTCTTTGTTCTCATTTGGACTATGATGATTTTGATCGATACACATTTGTGCATTGACCCACCTAGTCAATACCTACCTTACAGATTTTATTTTCTTCTCCTGACAAAAATTAAAATTTAACCAATAGTCCATTTTTCAGTACGGAAATGTGACTCGATATAAAATCTGAGATTAATACACAAAACAGAATAGTAGTTTTCAGATTTTTTTTCTTTGAATGAGAAGTTATATACTTTCACGATAGGAGAACCAGTAATATGGGATATAGATTTTGCTTAACCTACTTTATTTACAAATAAAGTTTAGTTCAAAATAATTTTCAAAGACTATTTTATCAGTATGGTATTTTGTGAAGACTGTCACATTTTAACAGTTGAATTCACTAGTCAATCTAAGCCATACCACCACTGGAAATCTGGAAGTACTGGACGGCTGTTTCTTCCCACCATGAGGCTCCTCAGCAGTAAGTATCCACGATCCCGTACTCAGAACTCGAACCCAGGACTTTCAGTTTCGCTCGAGAATGCTTAAACTCTAGATAACTAAGTCAGGATCAAACAGTTTTAATGTCAAATTTCAATCGATCCATGATCTTGTGCAACCCTTCATTCATTGTTTTCAGTGGGTAACTGTCTTATATGCGACACAGATAGGACTCCACTTCTCACGGCTTCTGACTAGAATACCAGGAAATCCATCTTGATGCTGGTTACTAATGAGCGTAAGATTATTATCAGTATGTGGTTTTATAGAGATCGTTATATGCTAGTGAAGATTACATTACGAGTAACTTCTGAGACCTGTTAACTGACTAATATTATCTATATATTCTTAAGGTATTCAGTAATTAGATTATGTATATTTATATTCCCTTATTATAAGCTTTATTTTGACCTATATATTATTGTTATACGATTTACTGTTCGTAAATTATACTCAGTTTATTAGTTACAGTCTAGCACGTTCACAGCCACTTTTTGGCTTAATTGTGCATGAATGTTATTTCCTATTTTATGGTGCGTTGCGGTCTGTTTGTTTGGTATATAAATCCAGTATGTCTGAAATAAATGATTGGCATAGTGGAGGTTGTTATTGGTATTCTAAAATAAGCTGGACAGGCTAGGCGAGCAACGGACCAATAGGACGCTAGGCTGATCAAACCAGTCGGACGTCATTGGTTTAGTTGTTATATCCCGGTGAAGATTAAATTACAGGTAACTTCCAAGGTCTATTCATGGACTAATATTCTATAAATATTCTTATTGTATAACTACTCAACAATTATACTATGTACATTTATATTCCTTTTATGATAAACTTTATTTTGACCTATAATTTATTATTGTACGATTTACGGTTCTTAAGCTACGCTCAGTCTATTAGTTACTGTCCCCCTCATTCACAGGCACTTTTTGGCTTATTTGTGTACAAATATTATTTCCTATTTTATGGTACGTTGCGGTCTGTCTGATTGATATATAAACCAAGTATGCCTGAAATAAACGATTCGGAAGCTGGTATTGTGTTCTGGACTCAGGTGGAAGGGCTCGGAGGACATAGGACTAATAAGGACGCTAAACTGCCCACACCGGTTGAACGTCATTGGTTGGCCTAGTGTGAAGATTCGTATAAGTCGTATTCGGATTGGTAGATAGATCGTGTGATAGAAAAGCCAGACGTCAAGGTCATAACATTGGTACAGTATAAGAGGGAATAACTCGTATTTTGATTGGCTAATAGATTATGTGATAACTAGCGGGTCATAATGACACAACAGAGATTATGGTATTTTTACAGTTAAATTCATAAGGTGATCTAAGCCAAACCACCATTGAAAATCTGGAAGCACTAGACGGTCATTTCGTCCAATTTTTATTTTATAGTTCAATATAGTAATCTCAAGATTCGTTTGTTTTCCAGTTAACCTTGATTAAATGGTACGAAATTGTACTCAATAACTTTTAAACGTTGATGATAAATACCATAATGGATCCAATTCATTCATTCTATGAGATTTTCAATGTACTTTTATAGTTTCACATAAAATTCCCCTAAATAAAAGAAGTCTTCATTTTATTTCATAATCTTTATTATATGTATATAAAGATAAACAATAAACTTGTGAACTGCAGAGGTTTGCAGATTTCATTTCATTTTCTGATTGTTTTGCGTGTTTATAATGAATAGAATAGAAAAATCTCAATTAGACCAGTTTATTCTTCAATTAGTTTTCCTGAGAAGTTTAGTAAATGATTGCTTTAAAACAAACAATATGTCGTCAATTGTTCTATACGGATTTCTTTTCTATTCAAGTCTTTTTTTAAAAAAACAAAAACTTTAACATACAATAGAGTGTGTAATGGTGAGATGAAAATGATCATTTTCTTGGAAATTAATCCTATAACTATCTTAACAATAAGACCTTTAATTCTTATTCTGATTGTTATGATAATGCTTTTAAGTTGTTTAAGCTCCTATCACTATAGTTACATAGTAAATGACACTCGTTTAATCTTAAGATTATCAACAATAATCTTATTAATTTTTTTTCTAAATTCTTAAATATAAATTAAAGGGAAAGAAAAGTCATCTATTTGAAAAGTACATTTAACTATATAATGAAATAGTTAAATATAATTTCTCTAGTTTATATATAAGTAATTAATAAAATAAATTTTAATGATAAATATTACTAATATGAGTAGTTGATAATTATTCACAACATTTTTCAGTGTTTAATTACCATTCATATTATTAATATTTGTTTAGGATCATAGATAAGTGAACTAAATTGCATCATACAGTTAAAAGGGTTAAAATAAGTTTAATTCAAATGAAACAGATTGTTGAGAGACAAGATTGAAATCAGAATGAAGTAGATCAGAAGTAGTTAGGCGGAATATGATTGTAAAGTCTCATCATTGCATATTACTGATCAGAACTAAGATAATAAACCAGTTCGTGTACAATGATAATGATCGCAGTTGAAACAGAGTCTTATTTTAAGATTATATCAAATGGTTATAGGTTAAACACTAACTGAATGCTTCCATGTTTTCAATGGTGTTCTAGCATCAATCGGTTCAAGAGCTCAATCAATAACTAATTGATCTCCACAACCCTATACTGATAATTACCATGTGCTCACTAGTGACTAACTTCGTGAAGGAATTCTCGAAGTTCTAGTGAGGAGCCGTGACCAGTGGAGTTATTCTGTGTCGGGTAGAGACAGGTATCTACCTCAGTAAAATGAAAGATGGTCGCGCAATTTCATGGATTGATTGAGGTTAGACATTAACACCATTGGATGCCGGCTCAATGGTCAAGTAGGTTAAAGCGTTCGCACGCGAGACTGAAGGTCCTGGGTTCGAACCCCGCGAGCAGGATGGTGGGTGCGCGCTGCTGAGGAGTCCCACAATAGGACGGAACGGCCGTCCAGTGCTTCCAGGTTTTCAATAGTGGTCTAACCTCAATCGGTTCATGATCTCAATCAAAAACTTAACAATCTCCACAACTCTATAGTGATAATCTTGAATTACTTATACACATTAGCAAGATGTTTTATTTGACTTTCAATTGAACTATATTGATACTACTTAAATTAATATTATATTTTTTTATGTGAACATCATTTTTCGAATGCAGTTAATGGTGAAATGGTTCTTTACTAAGATTTTATGTTTCTGCATTACTTTTCACTTTAATTGCTGATATTGTGGTGAACAAGAACACCAGTGGGGACAATCGAATGTATTTAACACAAAATTACAGGACTTGTTAATAAAATCTAACAATCATAAAGTAAATGCTTAATTTGCAAAATTTCCATCAAAATGACTCCGACTTTATTGTTCCCGCATTTTCATACAAATTTCATTCTGTTCCCATTCTTTACTGTTCGATCCTCTAGTCTCTCTGCTGCCAGACCTTCTGTTCACGAGTAACGTCATATACTACTTATGTCAGTATAAGTAGCACACACCACAATATTACAAATACTTAGATAAAGTATTAACAATTATTTCCAGATTTAATGAAAGTCTGAAAGAATATTGGTTATTTATAGATATTACAAAAGGTAGACTAAACAGCTTGATTCTGTTATAACTAGATACATTAAAAACTGATTTAGTGCGGGATAGTTGAGTTATGATTCCTGCCCATA